TTATTATTATTATTATTATTATTGTTATTAAATAAAACAAAGGATAAAGGAATGTTAATGGCTGTCAGCTGAAATTCTGAACTTTATGCTAGGATTTCCCTACCTGGATGCTGAGGAACCACTGCACTGACAGGCCAAGACCACTCACTCCAGAAGACTCCGCTGTTGTAGTCGTCATGACGTTTAGCACGAACCTGGGCGCTGTAGATTTCGCCTGGGATCAGGCCCACCAGATTGTAAGCTCTGGACTTTGAAACATTTACCTTGAAAATACAGACACAAAGCAATGTGACATGCCAACACTAACCAAGGAGCTGTAAATAAATGCAGAGTGTTTCAGCAGGTAAAATGAGTAATTTAGGCATGGTGTTGATTCTTATGTGACATCTGGCATTTAGGTGAGGAAAGTCTCATTCTCCATGCTGGTACATTGTCCCACCTAGGAAAGAATGTCAATGAAAGCAAATAATCCCATCCTAGCTGCCTTCAGTCTGGAGCTGTCTGCTAGGACTTCACTGGTCATTGATTTCTGAATGTGTTGGGGGTCGTAGAGGCAGGAGGCAACCACCATGCATTCATTTCAAATGAAACATTTAGAGATTAAATCTCTGGAAAGGAACTCTTTTATGTACTGCAGATCCCAGATGGGATTTTGTCGGGATGCACCTTAAAGCTGTTAGACCTAAAAGACCTCTGGCATAATCATCCAAAGCTCACTTCAACCATCTTTTTAGGTCTAACTTTTCTTTACTTTTGTTACATGATTGGTGATGTGGAAATTTATCTTGATGCTGACAGTGTTTCATTAGTATGTTAAAGATTTAATGTACCATTAAGATTTACTGTACCATTTGAGAGCAATGAATCATTAGCTCGACCTTGGGTACTTTGTATTATCATACAATTAGTCTTGCTATAAGTGTATCATACTTTTTAGGGTACAATATAATAAGTAAGAGCTGAATGATATTTCATCTAGCTTCAATAGACCTTATGAAAAGGAATATACAAAACAAATGCTTTCTGTTACCCTTCTAGTTTGTTGCTGTAAGTTGGCAGGAGCATATTTGATCTCATACAGCATTTTTCTGTATTGAGCTGCAGGGGCGTTCCATGACACCCTGAGCTGCAGTGGTTTCCCATTCTGGACAAGTGAGACATTCGCAGGAGGATCAGGTAGAACTGAAAAAAAGAGGAAAATAGGAGGAAAACTGTGAACCAAGTCATGTTACCTGCTTCATAGCCATAAAGGAACTTCATGAGTAAACAGTAATAGCAGAAAAAAAGGTATTCAGCATTTAGAGTTTCTTACTCTCAGTTGTTGAATGACATTTCCGCTCTAGATGACTTCCATCATATCCTAACAGAGTCACAGAATCAGAGTCTCACACTAATCAAATATTATTGCAAAGCGAAATACGTTCTTCACTTCAGTTTCGTATTGAAATAAAAGCCAAAGTTCATCCTCCGTTAAAATTTTCTACATTTTGCCCTTAAGGAGTACATGAATTACATTTCTCCTATTGCTGTCCTATTTCTTTTGTTCCATACGGAGTTCAACAGATCACCCTGCAATTAACTGCAGCTCAGGATTTCAGTTCCTCAGCATGTGCACTGACCTTGGTTTTCAACACTGACGTTTCTGGTGTAGATAGTGTTGTTGGTGCTGCAGTCCACAACTGTGATGTGCATTACAGTGAACAGAAAGACATCATGGGCTGGGAAGGAACAAACATGAAGCAGCGTGTTCCAATCCCTCTGCTGCGTGAGAGCACATTTCTTTTCTTCGCTTTAAAAGAGAAGATGCCACATGACAATGGAGGTGCTCCCGCATCTCAATTACAACCCTTCGAAATTGGAAACAACAGCAATGCGTGCAACTGCTTGTAAAGTTAAGGCTAACGGACCTCTTCACTTGAAATTTGTGAATGAAAGATCCATTCCCAAAACGGAATGGACCAATGAGAAGGACTGCAAGAAACAGGGCAGGATGTAAAACTGTGTGCTTAAGTTCTGCGCTGGCATGCCTCAAAGCTACTCTTGTTGTGGCCCCATATACTGAATATGTGTTTTGTACTCCTTAAGAGCTTTGTCTCAAACAAAATACTGTTAAACATAGTTCAGGGCTGGTCTGTCAGACATGCGGGTGTACACTATATCAGGCTTTCATGTCCACAGAGAAAAGTGTGCAAAATGTTTAAATAAGAATGATTAGTAGAAATAAAAACCCAATATGTATGGTAATCCAGGGACTGGAGTATTTTTACATTGTTTATACCCCTCTTGAATTAATCATTCAGTCTATACATTTTGCTGGTGTGTGCGACTGCAGTCAAAAAATCTTTCAACATTGCTTGGGTGGAGGTTGGGTTACACTGAGGTTGTATTTTGTTGCATTCTTTGGATGATGTTGTTCTCATGGAAAAAAGTACAGCAGGGCTCCATTTTATAAGCTGCTACACAAATTGCAAGAGGAGAGTCAGATGTTATCTCTTATCTTAATTGGATCCCCCCTTTCCCCTTTCTTTTGCCTAGCCTATGTGCTCCTTTTTTTAAAACAATTTTGCCATCTTGAAAAATACGTTAAAGTCTACATAGCCAAATTAATAGGAGTTTATATGTACAGTCATCTTTTGTTTTCAATACTTCTTGACCTAATTTGTGACTTCCAGTTTTGTTTAAACGCATATTTTTGCTTTCCTCCTATTTACATACGTTTGAGTCATTTTCAACATTACAGCCACAATAAGGCATTTTGTTATACATAGGATGTGCCACATTTAACACGACTAACAGGTTAATGTACAGCATATACTGTATGTCCTGTTTGCAGATCACGATAGAATTGTTCTATTTGTAATATTTTCATCTAGTACTGTCTTGCAGTGCCAGTCAGGTAAGAAGCTTTTATCTATATTCCTCCCATACTTACATTTCTGTTTTGTAATAGAGCTCATAGGTAGAATCGTTGGTGCCTTCCCAAAAGCAAGTGAAATCACTTTCTGTCCGAGTGAAGCATTTTGGGTCTTGATCATCAGCGAGGAGCAAAGAAGCTGTTAGAAAAAGGATGGTGGGCAGTGAGAGACACTGAAAGCACTGAATTGTGACATCTTCAGGCTTTTACAGTAATTGAATAGATTTGGGTATGGTGTATAGCAGGTCAGTGGAATCCTTTGCACCTGATTTAGAAATGTTGACAACAGAATTGTGGTTCTCAAAAACCTTTAAAAGGAAAGACACACATAATACAACCTTGTATGAATATCAGCAGCCTCTGCTCTGAGTTTCGTAAAACTATTTCTTGAAAGATCCCAGAGATTCGTCGTGAAAAATAAGGTTGTGTATCAGACAACCACCAATACTTGATTTTCATATCATATCCTATTATTTTCCACTTGTTTTTCTACTCAGAATTACATATTTTGATCCACTTTTCACTGCTCATTTCTCTTCACTTCTTTTGCTCACTTCATTTCTTTGAAGTGTTACCAATTTTTAAAGACTCTAAAGATCTAATTAAAACAAGAATTAGATCCAGGAGGTAACTTGGAGCTCAGCTGGAAAAAAAGTCAGAGGGTTTGGGTTTTGGTAACATTCTAAATGATTATAATTATCTAGGGATTTAAAATATACGGTTGACAAGATGTAAACAGGTCTTCTTTGGTTTGGCTAAGCTTCAATATTTTAATAGTATCTTATCCTTTGCTTTGAAATACGTGTTACAACCAACAATAAATCTTGTGACAAAAATGTGGCAGTACTGTATCAAATTTGCACTGTGAAAACATGTTTCATGAACATGAAAATATATAGCAGAACTGACTACATGTACTTTTTTGACAATACAACCAATTTGTAGTCAAAGGGTTTGTAGCCCACTTTGTGAACTCTGTTGTTTTGGCCTTTTAGGATTCCAGCACCTCTGTTGATGCAAGTGTAGTGTGGTGGAAAATAGCCCTTATTATCTTCCTCTTCTCTGGTACTGCTAGTGGTTTATATGGTCTTCCAAGGTTGAATCATTTCAAGTTGTGAAAAGACGGTGTGTTATATTGTAGTACTCTCCTCTATTTGTAAAATCTTCAGATTTTTAAAAAATGTTATATGAATTACTGTGCATTACTGAATAGATATAATGTCAGAACATTAATAGTAACTATATAACTGCTGTTCAGTAGTTGAGAAAATCCTATTAGATAGTGGAAGATATTTTGTTATACTGCATATACAGGTAAACATATAAGTAAACATATAAGTTTACTTATAAACATATAAGTGAGTAAGTATTCAAAATGAAAAGTAATATTTATATGAACACAACGTATCTAAATGGATAATATTAATAACACAGTCGACAACAGACATCACATCCTTTTTTTGAAATTCAAAATATACAATGAATATACAATATTTTACATACATATAGTTACAATAACCATGAAAAGGCAAAATAATTAATAGTAAACTTGTGATGTTAATTGCATATAAAAGATAGTCATGAAATAGACATAATTTCCAGAAATAATGTATTTTGGAAAAATAAATCTTGAATAATTGATACAAAGAAAAAACTGGATTTTTTTAGATTATTATTTTATCGGTTTTCATTTTTAAAATATTTCTTCCCCTGTGATGTAATGTATAATTTATCAAAAACTTTCAGGCCCACCATATATAGTTTTTAAAATTAAATACTAGAGTTGCCAGACGTAACATGAGTGTATTATATCATGATACTCATTGAGAATCCATAAGACATTTTTCTGCACAGAGAAATTACATAATTCGATACACGTTTCCTGTTATATCCTATCCTGATTCCTGTAGTATTTGTAGCTTATCCAGTAGTTATAGATCCATATAATACAAAATCGTATTGATTTAGAATAATTTTAATTTAAAAATCAGAAAAACCAAATTCCAAACTAATTGTAGTTACATGGAAATGAGGCACGTGTGGGGATGCAAAAACTGTACCTAAAGAAAAAATTCAATCCTTCCCACGCTATGTTTGTGTCCTGCAACCACAGGATGAAAATTGTATGAACTCTGATGCTGAGATACTAACATCCAAGAGGTAATTTGTCGCCAAGACAAAAACAAAGAAAATGTACCTTTCTTTATCAGAGGAGAGACAGGTTCAAAGGTGGAGACCAGCGAAGTCCTCCAGCAGATCCAAACAGAAACAGAGATCCAAAAGCAGATTTTTAGCTCGAACCCAGGAGCCATAGCCAAAGCAGGTACTGGCTATATCCCATCACCACTTTCTTTCTGTTGTTTGCTTGAAACAGGAGGCTTTCGAAACGTACGGGCATTATCTCACAGGGCTCAGCTGAGCAGATCAGGAAGCCTGTGGCTGGTGGATTGAGGCAAGAGCCCAATGGGGGCCTCATTCCTCCCCCCCCAAACACAGCTTTGCCACTGTGCTCTGCCCCACACCCTCCCCACTGCCAGGTACAGCGAGTGTGAAACTGCATTGGGTGAGCACCGTTTTAGTGGGCCCCTGGAGTAAAATGACAAAAATGCCCTTCGAAAAGACAGGTAGAATTCAGCTGCATTCTGCCTGATTTCTAGGATCCTTTATACGAGTTATTTCAACACTTCTGAGACAGAACGGTAGCAAGCGGTACAATCCAGAATACCTTGCCATTCAGTTATGTTTCTTGTTCCCAAGGGCAATGCAGTAGTTTGATCACAAATCAGATCCGCCTCCAAGAAAAAGGCCCTAGTAGTGGCAGATGCCTAGTGACACACTGCAAAATGATCTGGTGTTTCTGATGACCTCCAAAAGGAAGTTATGTACTTCATGCAGTGAAACAGTGTTTATGGTAGCTCTTGAGCAGCTTTGGAAAATGCCCAAGAGAAACAACAGTTACTGACACAGAATTGAAAATGTGACATGATTTGTGAATTTTGTCATAGCAGACGTAATGTAAGAATATCATACAGTCATTGCTTGTCTTTCACCTCTGACCAGGACAACGTGGGACCCTTAGTATCTGTTTCAGCTCTTGTTTAAGGATCTCAGTTTACCTCTTTTAGATTCCTGGTTCTGTTCGATACAAAAGAAAACGTCTCATTTTTACTCAACCAGTTAGCCTTTGAATTGCTGGTATTTCTTCAATGTGCACCACAGGCACAAAGTATAACCGCAGGTCCTTCGTGAGAACTGTTCTCCTAGCCATCAAGTTCTCTTTTTCCCATCTTAATCTCGCACACGATCTGAAGTAGTCTTGAGCTTTTGAGCACGACACGAAAGGGGCATTACAGAAAATATGAATTGTTTATAAAAATGATTCATTATCTAATAAATCACACTTGATTCTAACATATCGCATAATGTTAAATGTAGAAATGTAATTTAACAAACCTAATGACATAAAGAAACACTTTGTACATCTTCTTCAAACAAAGGTTTGCTTATATTGCTTCTATATGGTAAGACTAAGTGTATACTGTACATTGGGATAGGGAGAGAAACATTTTTTACCTAAGTTCTAGAAAAGACTAAGAGCTTAACCTGCATTCCTGGAGGTTTTCAGACACTTTATTTTCTTCTCTTGTTGCACATGTTAGAACTAGGCAGTGATGTATGGCAGAGTAGTTTTAAAATGAGAAAATGAAGTGCCCTTTTTCGGCGACCTCCCTATCAGCTTCTTCAGGACACAGAGAGACACTGAGAGCACCAGGAAGCAGGCACATGTCTCCTCTGTGTGACAGGCTGAACCCATGGCTTGTTGTTTAAGGAAATCCTTTGACAGATCAGCAAGATGCAGTAAGGAAAAGGGCCAGGGACTTCTAAACCACAAGGCATAAAAAATTTTGAAATGTGGTCTCCCGCTGACACTTGAATAAGTGACAAGTCTTGAGCACACAGGGCTCCTCTTCTGTGTAACTACAGTACTTGTCCTTTCTTCCCAAGAGTAAACACTGTGTATTAAGTGCAATGAGGAATCTACAGAGTCTTCAATAAAGGAACTATATTATTTTGCATTTCATATCAGTTATGGCTTTTTTCTTGACTGTAAAATGTATTGCATTTGGTGCTATTATTCCATGTAAAAATATTTTCTAAAATACACACTATCCACTCACATTACCCTCCCAGCTGCTAGTTTTTGATCCAGCTGAGCTTTCAATTATGCAATCGAATCCTTCAGTAACATGATTTATTTTAACTCTCTGCCTCGAGTTCCTATAGATGTTGGAGATAAGCTTTTAACCATGGTATTTTGTAGGTAACTTGATCCACAGCGAATGAAGCTGCAAATGTTCCAAGCAAGCAACTTCAGCAAACTGTTAGTTGGCCTAAGGATTTATTTAAGAGTTCAGATCGAGTGAAAAGCAGATGTGAGGGTTGGAAGCCCCTATTCTATACTGTTGCAACTGGCAGTTCTTCCATAATATTAATATTAATTAATAATAATATTAATTTTCACGGTGTATATTTCAGCTGGTGAGGAAAAAATACCTCTGTAATATTCACATTTGTAAGGACAGCTTAGTGAATGTCTTATGTACATCTACTGATGCCCTCCTTAGTCAACAGTTGACTGTTGCTGTTGTCCAGGAATTGATGTCACAAGATGGAACCCAGCTTGCATCAGGTGTTTTGATCCTTATCCATAACGCCCTCCTGCTGGTGGATCAGCACTGATAGCCAGTTATTGCTCATCTCCTGCCGTCCTCCATCTTAACACCTTTCTCCCGTTCCAGAGCCAGCATAAGGCTCTCTCTCTCTCTGCTGCCTCTCCCAACCTTCGAACTGCTGTCTTTCTGTCCTTCCCAGTTAGCCCCACAGCTCTCAGCTCTCTCCACACTGAATAGGGAATCCTCTGTATCCAACCGCCACCAGGAAAAAAACACCTCTGCTACCCTTTCCCTCTGCAGTTTTGTACCAGATCCTCATATTTAGCATGTTTCCTCTCAAAGGCCTCCTCACATCCTTCCTCTCATGGCACCGTCAGCTCAATGAGGATGATCTTCCTCACTTAAGGGGACAACATCACCACATCTGGCCTTAGGGATGTTTTTACAACCTCTGGAAACTGCAGCCTTCCTCCAAGGTCCAGTCTCATGTCCCATGCTGGAGCTTTATGCAGGAAAGAATCCTTGATTTTCCTTGACCTTGTCCACTTCTCACCCTCTCTGACAAATGCAACTGCGTTTGTAAATCCCCCATGAGCTTGCCGTTTCTTTTCGCCTCTTTCTCCAGGATATCCAAGAGTGTCATCAAGGCCTTGTCATGCCATCTATAACTACCTAGTGGAAGTGCCACCCTGCCCCCAGAGAGAGAAGGTACCTCTCTCTTCACAGAACCAGCAATTTGATCTTCCCTCACACCCCACATTTGCAGATCCAGTGGTAATGAGAGGGTGTTGTAGACCGCCCACCTCAGGAAAGAGATACGAAAGGGCTCCAACCTCCACAATTCTGTCCAAGTCAATGTCTTTCAGGAGGAGTCCACTTTGTCCATTTGTCCACTTGTCTCCCTGCACTTCGATCTCCACTGTCCTGGACCTTTGGCTCTCCTCCCGAGGTGAATAGCATGACAAGTCCCTTTTTGCCGACCCTGTATTTATTAGGTTTGTGTTGTGAAGATTGTGTCTTGCTTTTTATAGGTTATACAAAAATAGTTAAAGTAGGCAGCTGCGTCAGGCTGCAAAGGAAGAAGTAAAGGTTCATTCCATGCTCAAAAGAGAGGAAAAGAAACACAACGTTTCGGCTGTGGAGCCTTCATCGGAAAGAACCCAAAGAAGGATCTACAGCCGAAACGTGTTTCTTTTCTTCTCTTTTCAACATGGAATAAACTTTTACTTGCTCCTATAGAAAAATAGTGCATATAAATATAGGCCATATGTAGACTTCAATGTAGTACTATCTAAATACTTCTGAAATCCTCTCCTTCAATTCTATATGAACCACTGTGTTTTACTGTTTTAATTACATTTTCTCCGAGAATTTTCCCTTTCATTAACAAGA